GAGATGGGACATCCCTCTGAGTCAAAACCTCCACCAGCCTCAACCCCAGACATTGCCGACRTTGACCTACCATCTCTTAGGCTTAGCTGAGGAACTTGTTTCTAACATCTTTGCCTCCAGAATATGATGAGCTTCAGACTTGATCATACCTACCTGTTTAGGAAAGATCTACTTGGACACATTACAGTACTGACAATATAGAGTTTTTGCCAGGAGCACCCAATGAAGTTACTACCTTCCTCGCTACTGCACCCTCTTCCTAAGCCAGGCTTCCCACCTCTGCTTACATTCAATGAATCTACTCCCTCTCTTGCACTAACACATATTTGAGACCCTGATTGTGAAATACGCAAGTCCAAAAACAGGAGAGAGGATTTAAAAAGAAAAAAAAACCTCTGAATTCAGTTCACACAGTCTCACAGAGAGCTGTGCCAATGCTCCCTAACATGAGATAAAAGAACTGCTAGAGCTGAACAATTTGTATCCTCAAAACATATTATTTTAAGCAAGAAACATCCATTTTTCCTTCAGAATCTCCTAAATGTGATATTTTTTCCTCTGCCTACTCCTTTCCATGTGCATGCAAACGGAGCCAACAAGCTAGCTGTTACAGTGCAAACGTTTCTGAGACAGTTTCAATCCAGACAGTTTGAAAAAACATCACCAGGTTTCTGGCTAGCTGAATAAATCCCTCACTTTCCAGTTTAACCAAAAATTGCTACTTCTGTAGCATTCCTGCACTAAGCATGCTATTCATACTTCTTAACACCAATTCACTCAACAGCACCCAATAACAGAAAAAAAAAAAAAAAAAAAAAAAAAAAACCACTTCAGGGAAGCAAGCAAATTCCTGCCAACAGAACATGATTTTCATCAAACACTATCAATACCATATCAACATCAATTGCTACTAGAACTTATACAAATGATGCTAGCCAGCATTGGTTGCCACAGCATCACAGTGTTCATCTGTTTAGATAGAGTGTATAAATAATTTGATTACAGAAAGTTCAAATTTTTATTCTGGAAAGTTTTCATTTGGAAATATAACAAGCAGCATACCGAAGGACCTAGGAGAGCATTTTGTCTTACAGTAAAACACATCTCTGAGGATTAAAGAGATGCGAGCAAGTAACCAAAACTATTCAGCTGAGGACGTTCATATCCAGAGTTTAAATAAGGTAAAAACATCTCACTCACAGGGAAAACATAGCTATGTCTAGAAATGAAGATTCAACATTGAAAGTTAAATTACATTTACATTTCATTCAATTTTACATTAAAGGTAATATACCCTGGGTAAAATCCTAGGGTGTATTTGCATGAATGTTTTAAGAGTATAACAAGCATAGTCTTCTGTTGTAAACATTTGAGGTTAAATTATATGGKATAAGTACCTTGATACAATGTAACCAACTGAGTCTCTATAAAGAGAAGGAATTACTATTATTTTTATTTTTCTAATTCAATGCAATTATAACAGCTAAAATATTAATGAAATCTTGCATATATGTAAATTAGCTCAGAGTTTATTAYCCAGAACCATCCTTTTCCCATAGCCATCAATTTTGACATAGCTATTTTAATTTACACACTACATGACTCATTTTCTCTGTTTATAAAGCAAGAGTGAACAAAAAAAATTCATTAATGTTCAGGATTCTAGGTAAATAAACATCMCTCAAAACAGTTATTGAACCCTCTGAGATGAACAATGCGGGCATCAGAAAAATAAAATACAAGTAAGGCCTAATAGTCACCCAGTAGCAATGAGAAGGCAAGATAAACTGCTCATAAACATTAAGGATAGCTGAAGAGCAAAATAGCTTCTAACTACCTAACACTACCAACAGCAAGGAAAGTGTTACTATGAAATCATGTGATAAAATGCATTTATTCTGTATGCAGGCATTATGTATGATGGAGCAATATTATAAGTCTTTATTTTTCTTTTTCATTCTAGCCTGAAGTTTTGAATGCAAGAGGCAGAGCTACAGTTTTTATAGCAGCGAGCACATACTGCTTTGCTTTAGCACACTTTTGAAGCAGCAATATGGACACATTCCAAGGAAACTTTGAAAAGTTGTGTTGGGGTCACCTTTTGAGAAATGCCCTGCATTTAATTTTCTCTCACTGAAAACCGAAAAACTAGATCCTCTTAAGGAGTAGGTTGAAAAGTGCCTCATTTAAAACACAACTTAGATCCTAGAAGGTTAAAACAACTGCATTTTAGTTTTGAAGTATAAAAGTTCTCTGTCATTGACTCCTCCTTAAAAACAAACACCATCCACAGCCAGGARAAAATAAAATTCTTCACAGGACAGATCTTCCTACTATTAATTTTAAGACAATTCCCATCACCTTAGAAATATGCTACATTTTGCTATAATATTTGCATAATGGTGCTTTGTGATTGCTCTAGGAGAAAAGACAACGTGTRTTTTCCAAGTAATCATGAATCCCATGATCATTTTGTTAATTGAAGTCCTACACAAGCACACCCCACACACATATAAAAGCAGATGGAGGAAAAAGTACCAGAAGTCCTGACCAGATTAAGTTACTGTTAGCAAAGGTAGATAGATGTCATTTTTTCTTGCTGTAAGGATGCTTCTGGAACTCCAGAATTAACCAGTTTTATACCCTTGTATTGATACACATTAGATGGCTTTTGSAAGCATCTGATGAACTCAGGTTGACCAGTTACTTTGTTCTGGCCAAAAATCCAGGAAAGCCAAAATATAAGGACACTTTGTAACTTCAAATCATCTTTCTCCGAGAGGAATAACCTGGAATACTTTCATCCAGGTTCCCTACATCCAGGCTGAGCACACCAAACCAACCTCACTTGGGGAAGAGGTAAACAYAGGTGGGTTAACCTGCAGCCATTGCAGAGAGGCAACCCTGATGGGCACAGGAGTWGCTGGGGCTCTGAAGAAGCTGCCGCTTGCATGGTCTTATGCTCAGGAACACCTGCTAAATCTGCCTTTCCAAACAAAAGACCTTTCTTGCTGCTTCTGGAATGGTATCCCTGAGCTGAGCCTGCTCAGGGGCTTGGCTAACTCCTGCCCAGTCCATACGAAGGCCTGAAGCACTAAAGGTCCTCAGCTGAGATGCAGAAACCCAGAGGTGAGCTCCTCTCCTCCAGGCAGTGCAGGGCACCTTGATCCCACCTAACCTATATTCAGATGCATGTCCCTAGGCAGGTGGGAAACCGTAAGTCACCACCTAAGGGCACAGTTTTGGCCGCTGAGTCATTTGCCTAGAGATTTCCCTCAAGCTCCCCATTCCTGAAGCGGGCAGCCTGTGCAGAGCAAGACAGTTGGAGTCACGGGGACCTACTTGCAGCATGTGGACAGACACTGCTGGAGTGAAGGCATCCAAGCTTTCCCAAGGCAGTCGGTCCCGGGGCAGCATGTATCCCAAAGCAGGCCTCCTAGAGGAACCTGGTCAGAAACCACCACTCATCACAATGCAGTGGCAAATCCAGCATCTCCAGCCATAAAGGARTTAATAGCATATAGCTACGTGTCTCACAGTAAAGGTCAGATGATAGTTTCTAGTTTCAGTAGAGGCAACAAGCGCACTGAGCAGCTCAGGTTGTTTGCTTGCTGTAGGCTAATCAATAAAAGCTGAAGAACTTGCTGCTCTTTCATTTTGATAATTAATCACTTACATATTTTATAGATATATGATACTAATAACCCAGAAAATTAATGCCTACGTGTTTGTTATTTTCAAATATACTAACATAAAACTTGCAATGCTGCATAAAGCAACTTAATTGATTTTGGCCATTTATTTTTCACTTCTATTACAGGTATAAAACACTGACTGTAACGAAAGCATGCTCTGATGAATTTCCATCCTTACAGTTATAAATAAACTTGATAACAACTCTCAATCTGTATTGGCAAATTAAATGGAGTTCTATGTCAATGAAAATTAAGGCTTGTCTTACAAGAGCTTATTTCTACCTTCTGTCCCTCTGCCCCYACCCTGCACTACCCTGAGGCCTCAGCTGGCAGCAATCAGTGCCACTCTCTGCTGCCAGCTCAGCAGTGATGATTTCTACCAGCTGAAGATCTCTGGGCCCTCACGTAATATTTTAGCAGTCTTACCTTTTCAGAAAGGGAATGGGGGTGCCTGGTTTTGATATTCCTCTGTGGAGCTTGTGCGCAATCTGGGAATGTTTTCCAAAGAAATACCATCCTCTCCTTCTCCCACTCTTGTCCCTCTGCCCCTGTAGCAGTCTTGGGAGCTGCTTAGTYTTCATGAGGAAGATTGCTCTAAGTTTCAAGCTGGAACACAGGTCTTGTACCTGTGCTAAGATCCCACAAGACAATTGATTGCAGAATGAGCAGTACAAAGAATTATCTTTTAAATGAGCTACGTACAATGGCTTCAGGCTCAATTCTTTTTATAAGGATGCCTATGATTAAATTAGCAACTGCTCATGACCCAAAGGATTATAACAGGATGTAAATGAATGTCTTATAATTAAGACCTGTTTATTTTTATGTCACATTGTTCACATTTGCTACATATAACTGTTCAACAAAGATCACCATGTGATTTCATGTAAAATAGAGAAAGAGAAAACAAAACATAACATAGGAAACCAAAAAACATTAGACTTGCTTCTTCTCTACTTCAAAACTAGTGTTTTCTCTGTATCATTAAGCATTCCTAGAAATCTCATGGAATTAATTYTGCTTGAATAATAGTTTTTTATATTATTCTTCCAAGAATATTTGGTATTTTATTACTGACTTTTTAATATAGGTTCATAGCAGATAATTCATTCTTCTATTTTAAACAAAATGTATCATTTTCTTTACAAAAAGAGAGCAACAGATATCATAGTTTAATGTATTTACTGAATTTCCTGGTCTTGTAGCTTTTTAATTGATATACATTTAATAAGTGAGTAATTATATAATACATAGCAGTATTTTAAAGGCATTTTAGTAAGAACCTAACTATCTCAAAATTGGCATAACAACCTCTTCCCTTCTTTTCATGTATGAAAGCCAAAGCACAAGGAATTTCACCCGATTGACCAGAATTCCATAGTTATGCTGAATGAGGTGGTTGAGGACGTAMTCTCAAATCAAAAATGAATCAAAATCTTCAGTCTTAGAGGATATTCAGTCTTTACTTCAGCTTTGCAAATTAGGTGAAGCCTTCAATGCCAGATGATTCTTTTCCAGGTTAAGGCTCTTCCACGGTCTTCTACACAGATGTCACCATTGGCATTCAATTCATGAGGTAAAGCTATGTTCTTTTTGCATAGCTAAAAAATAATAATCTACGTTATATACTGCCTTTTAAATATTGTCTGTGATGATCACATTTGTAGGTCTGTATGCACCTACAAATGGTCTCCTGGGTCACTGCAGYTAGACCCTGACTATGCAGAGCCATGATGTAGAATCCCATTCATAAACTAGCATAGCCTTATGCTAGAGGATAACACAGAGGTGTTTGCTCTATCTAATACAACACAGAATTTTAATTTAGCACTTGATCTGCTACCAATACAATCAAGACAGGTGGTTTAAGCTGCTTCTCCCTCCCCTGACATTTGGACTATTACTTATCTTCTTACTCTCTGTTAATGACTTGAACCATATAACCATTTCTCAGTTGTACATATTTATGCAATTATATTCATCAATTTATAACATTTCTAAAATCCTTCTAAACTCTGTATCACTTATTAATGAATTCCACTAACTAAGCCAAAATACTCTTTTTCTTTATTTATTACGATGGAAAGCTAATAATAAAAAAAAAAGACCCACATTTAATGACAGGTTTCTTTGTCATTTATTGACAACTGTCAATTACAACTTTCAAAGGAACTGCTTGATTTTTTTAGACTCCCTGCAGTCATCCCACAGAGCAGTGGCTTTCAAAAAATTACTGTAAATATCTTTGCAGTGGAAACTCGGGCAGATGGGCTGTTCTTACAAACCCTGTAATCTTTCATCTAAGGTCACTGCAGGACTAAAATGTTTATTCCAGTAGATAGCTGATGTCTTCTCTGTCTGTTTTTACAATAAGGAGTTGCTTAGCAGCCTCATAAAAGCATCAGTTTTGGAGTATACGCTGGAATAAATGTATGGTTTGAATAATCTTCTTGTTTTCTTAGCATATATGGAAGTACTGCAGGAAATTCCCAGTGCACTTTATAAACATCTAAATGAGGTGAATGCAAATTATGCCTGCAATGCAAGGTTTTTAAAAATAATACCAGTAGTTTTCATATGATGGTCAATCAGAAAAAAAAAAAAAAGGAAAAAGAAAAAAAGAAAGAATGCTTTTTAGCCTAGAGATAAGAACTGTGAGTTGCAAGGTAAGTGTCCACTTTGTGAAAAATAGCTCCTAACAAACACTTTCTGTTATTTTATTTACATTTTTCTCTATTGGAGAACAAGAAAAAAAAAATACTGGTCAGGGATCACATTCTTTGCATGTAGAAGCCTAAGAGAAAACAGAGTCCAGGGGGCATTACTGTCTTACAAGTTAGTAAATGAGAAGGAGAAAGCTCATAGCATTTGAGTATTTGGGGATAGTGCATACTCATTCCTTGCAATAGAAAGTAGATACCCGAAACTGTAAGGCAAACACCTAGATATCAATCAGAAGAACATTGTCTCTAGTTATTCAGGTCAAAAGCTCCAAGACAATTTTCCATACCACTTTTTGGCACTTTCTGCTTCCAGATGATCCAATACACAAATTGGGGAGTGAAGTGCTGGGCAGCATTTACAGAGTGAGACCTCGTGGTATGGCTAGTGTGTTAACCTGAAGAGTGAACATGGACACACKAAACCTACTCATCAGCTACCTTGGTTCACCATTTGCTTTTTGCAAAAAGCACAGAATGTGCCCTGCAAAAAAAAYCCTCAGCCTTTTCAAGCTCTAGAACAACTATGGGGATCTTTCCTCATCTAATGCTCCATGTGTTTCTTGTGCCCTCCTTTAATTGTTGTCTTTTTGGAAATAACAAACCAAAATAAAACAAAAATACACATTTTCTCCTTACTGCTTTATACAGATATATTCACACCCCTGTACAAATGACACTGATGCTTCAAACAGTGGAATGGGCCTGTCCTATTCAATATTAATACAGAAAGATATTTTACTGCCTGCACCTAAAGATAGCAGGAGATAAAAAGATTTATTCGCTAGGTATTTGATGGTAAAAGAATTTGTTTTATCTTGTTCTTGTTTAGTGGTAAAGCTAAGAATATAACATTACTAAAGAACAAGAAAGGAAAAAAGGAAGCTGGATTACAGTCAGCTCACAGGACTGTGGTAGTGCTGTGATGGGGGGAAAAAAGTACATTTCCATTCTCCCCTTTGTCCCATTGAATCAAAGGCTCTCTGATTGCTGCTGTCACATAATGCTGATCAGAAAGGAATTAAGTGGCCAGTGAGAATGTGCTTTCTATCAAAGAGCTGGCAAACTGCAAGATGTAAAAGCCCAAAGGTCAGTGTAAATCTCCATATCAGAGAGAGCAGAATAGAAAGGGGAGAAACAGAGGTAGTAGGGGGGAAACTATTACAGTCAGTTCAATCCCTCACATCCAGATTTCTGTGAAAATATACATTCATGATTCCCTCTCACTTTTCAACCATACTGTGTTCTCCAAACTGTGTTTACTATTTTTTTTCCTAAGCTGTCACTTCTTTGATTTTTTTTTCTTGAGTGGTTTGTTTTATCTTTAAGGATAAGCAGTCCAGCCTGAAGTACTAAATGCAGTGTGATGGCTACCTCAGTAGCTATCGTCTCTCATGGAAACCTCCAAACATAGCATGTCTCTCACTGCCAGAGCTCTCCAGCAATTCACTCTCCTTGAAACCTAAGACTTGCTAGAAGGGAGGCTGCATGAGGCTATGACTTAAGGGAGGGCCAGAGGCAAGAGACTTAGTTCTSTGTTGCTCTTTCTAGCAGCTAGGCAGGCAGATGGAGTCAGAAGAGTCACTCTGTGCAACTCCCTTGGAAGAGTCAAGAGCACTATGTATTGTAGACTGTCCTCTTCATTTTCCACATGCAAGGTTATAGAAAAGGCCATTTGGTTTACCTAGAATTTTCCTTTGCTTGAGTAAGAAGTTCCAAATACAGTCCTGAAATCTTAAGTATTTCAAGATTTTGCAGTTCTTGTGGAGAACAACATATGTGAAGCTCAGCTCGTGAGGATTGTCATGTCCTGGAATTTTCTTCCTCTGAAAGAGCAGTCAGTAGATTTAAAAAAAAAAAAAAAAAAAAAAAACAAACATACTTCCACAAGTCCCTTCTATATTACTTAGCCATAGTTTGTACTAAATACTTTTTGAAGAAACAGCAAAACAATTAATCTTGCTACAGAGCATAAAAGATTTCCCTTATGACTATATCAAACATTTGAATGCTGGCTTGTGTTCTGGGTTAATGGGGCTTTTTAGCTCAATGTACCTTCACTTTCCAAGGAAGGATTAGCTTTTCTATTTCTGATTAAGCTATACTCTACAGATCCCTTACACTAAAATTTGCATAGCAATGTGCTGCATCAATGGCAAAAGGACTGTGCTTTGAATATGGACATCTAAAACTACATACTATCTGGGTTGCCTAGGGGACTATGTGAAGAAATCTTTTGCCAAAAAAAAAAAAAAAAAGTTAAGGAACTTGCAGTGGCTAAAAGTGGATGACCAATCTGCTGAATTTGGCAAATGTATGTATCAATATCCCCTCAACAGGAGGCAATAATTCTGTCCTGGGATTACTGTTGCCCCTCGTTTGGGATTTGGACAGCGAAGACAGAAGGGACACTGCAAACATTTCCAGTTCCTTTCACAAAGCCTGCCAAAGTATCTTTAGATTCTGCGTGTTGGTATCTCTTTTGCACGTGTTGTTAACAGACACAGGCAGCCAAGCGAGATCACATGCATGCATATGGAGCTTTGTTAAATGCAGATGGTGTAGTTGAAGTTGCTCACAATTAAGAACCATGTCACTGTAACTTKCATGCCTTTCATAATGGGATATAGAGAGCTCCATCTGCTTTGAAGCATGCTAATGTAAATAACTTCCTGGAGCATCCATTTTGTTTGCTCTACATTTTGTAATGGTAAGAAATCAGCATGGCTGCTTTGAAATAATCGCTTCATTCCTTCTCAACACAAGGGTTCCCCAATGACTTGGCTGTCACTAGCGAGGCATTTTTGCACTTGTTTCTTGGTCAGTCCTGCCTCTACAGCCTCTGCTCCACTTTAGTTGCTCAGCAAGGACAGAGCTCTTCCTCAGGAGGGCAATCCAACTTATTATAGGAAAACAGTAATGACAGTCAACTAGGAGCAGGGCTAAAGCAACATCGCCTATAGATTTTTTCATGACTCCAGCAATTATTACAAGAATTCTCTTCCTACTATAAACTAGAGACGCTTCTGAAACCCCTTTCCAGACAACAGCATTCCTTCTATGAAGGTGATTGCTTGGCTGGATTGTGATCCTACAGTGTATTTGTACACACATTATTCCATTAACTTCTGTGAATGCAATCATTATACTCATGTAAATGCATATAACATCATGTTGCAGAACCGTCCACTTATGAAATGACCAAAATTTTCAGAATTTCTTTTACACTATCTGGCAGCTCTCTTTGGTTGTTCTGTGAATTCCCCAAAGCTTCAAAGTTTTGTCAAGCAATGGCATTATTGTTATAGCCATAATGTGAAAAGAGAGAGTCAGAGCTCTGAATAGACAGTCAGAATAACACAGATACTGTGTTATTCTTGTCAACACTGTCATCTTGTAGCAGCAGTGAGGAAGATGAAGAAAGAGAGAAGGAGAAGGATGAAGAAAGCACCTTACAATCAAGCCAATTTTTGTCTGTTTTCCAGGAAGAGCTGGAGAATCCTCAGAGATGGTTGCTACCTTTTTTTTTTTTTTTTTTTTTTTTTTAAACTCCTCAGGATTAACTGCATGAAACTCTTTGAAGAAAATTATTATTTTTAATAAACACTCCTAGGAAATCCACATTATATTAATTTTTAGTTTGCATTCTTCTTTTTTTTTTTTTTCCCCTAAGGGAAGAAGCTTTTTTGTACCCAGTCCACACATTCTATACAAACCTGAAATAAACTTCTACCTCAATTAGATCATCTCCTGTTGTCATTAGCTCAAAAATACAAAGTTCCAGGTATCGCACCAGAGACCCTAATCAAGCCTTATGCAGTTGTGAAAATCTGATATAGGACTAGTGTCACAGAGCATTAAAGGTAATTGAGGTGGACTGTACACATGTTCAAGCTTCCTTTATTCCAGACCTTGAGAATGTCTTGATTTTGGACATCTCTAAATATATAAATTCTCTTTTTCCCCTAATTACCACACCACTACATTGATGTTTAGATGTGATTTTGTAATAAAAATAATAATCCTACACTTGTTTGACTAGTGGTTCTTCACATCATATTCTTCACGCATGCATTCACAATGTATCAGTATTCTCCTCTACTTTGAAATTTGTGAGCGTGACAGAAAAGGGGAGTGCACAGAGTCCTTCAGGGTACTTRAGCATAGAGCCATGCTAGCTAAGTATCCATCTCATATGAACTCTAAAAAGTCTCCAAAGTCTRCTTTGGTTGTGATACTCACACCACACTGCAAGAACTGCAAATGTACAAYGTAAGTCCATAGAGAAGAGACTGTCAGATGATAGAGAAGAGAAAGCTATTTCTGAGTGGTTTTAGATATAAGCACAAAAGAGAAATAGTTTTCCCAATTTTTTCAAGACCAGGGATTTGAATGCTGATGTCTTTATTAGTCATTTCCCAAATGTTTGATTTCACCATCTGATAAAAAATATGTACACCATTAAAAGTGAAAATTTAGCTTTATGAGTTAAGTTCTTACCTTATATGCGAAATTAATCTGCATTTTTTTCTCCAGATTTACTGCTCTTCAATTGATTCTGAATGAAAATATTCATTAGGTAAATAGATAATCAAAGAGTTAAGATCTGTTTCTTAAACTGATGTAAAGATTTTTCTCCTTTTCCTTATAGATAAATATTGTTCTTTCAGTAAGAAAATCACATTCCCTGTGTTCACTTAACCTGAGAATGAAAGAATATGAAAATTATTCATCTGTCAATGTAACTTAAAACTTAAATGAATGTCTTTCAAAATAGTTAGAGTTATTTGAAGTCAATTCTGTAGAAAGGAGATGGACATGCTCTGTTAGAAACACATGTATGTGTAATATTAAGTCATCTCAAGTAGTGGCCCATTTATATTTATGGCGACTTTCAYTGGTTTTGATTGATGCAGTGTCCCTATGTACTGCTGGACTGTAACTGTTATGAAGTTAATTTCATTAATCTGCTATATGAACATTTAATAGCCAGTCATGTTAATAAATGGCTGAATTGTTCTAATGCTGAGGTAATTACATGTTGATCTACTTGAGAGAAACTGAATAGGCAATAGGGACACTCCATTCAAGGAACTAAGGAGTTATTAAAAAAACAATCCATATCTTAAAAAAAAATCTAGAAGGCGATGAAAGAACTTGCCTACTTACATAGAAAGGCTGTCAGATACCTTCTTTTATATGCAGCAGATACTCGTTAAAATTCTTGAATAGAGAGAATGGGTTGGATTCGTTAGGTTGCTGAATAGATTCCTCTTTCTGAAAGGCATATACTGAAAAAAAATAAGCAAATAACAAGAGTGAATAAATGGCACTAATGACATCGTTTGTATTTGAAACTTTATTTTTTAAACAAAMAACGCAATGAAGATTAGCAAATTCCCATCCTTTACTGGTTACATCCGATAAGGACAGCAGTGTTCCCATGCTCAAAATACTTATGCTCCAGCTGAAAAAGCAAAAATCAGCAAAAGGKAACTAAAAGAATATAAAAATCTTCCAAAATAATGTGAATTAGTTGATGGCAAACCGGTTTTTAATACTGTAAGCCAGCTCTGTAGAAAATGATTGATTATTTAATTAGTATTATTTATTGACTATTATTTACATTTTGCCAGAGTATCTGTCCCAGTCTGTTTTAAATACCATTTAAACCTAAGCAAGCTTAAACGATACATTTAAAATCCTGTTTCTAGCATCAAAATAGCAGCCTTAAAAAGTTCCTAAATTTATTGTTTAAACAATTGCACTGTAATTCTGTCCTCCAGATTCCAGATTTTTTTTTTTTTTTACCTTTGACAGTTTGAGATGTCTATTGCTCATCATTCTGTAAAAACGAAACAAATTTCCTCCCCTCTGCAACATACAACTATATACCCTTTGATTTAGCTTTCCTTCAGCCACGGGGAAATGCCTTCATCCATCTGCATCTAAGGCCTTTAACTTCCCCGCACTCCAGCCCGGCTCCAACGTTAAATCTCGCAGTTACTCCTGTCACTAATGCTAYGCAATACGCAAACCAAAGGAGAAGTTGAAGCCATTAGCTGCAGCTACCAGTGTCTGGAGGCAGCTTTAAGCACTGGGCAGCTACCTTTTTGGCTTAGCACACCTGTTAATCAGGCGGAGGGGCAGCACGGGGCATTCCCCAGTTCGCAGCACCTCGTGTGTTTCTGCACTTAGCCACGCTGCTCAGCACCGTCCTTGACTCTTCTTCCCTCTGAGCCGGGGCTTTGGGATCGGGCAAGATTTTCAATGGCTGATCACAAGCAGACGTTGTTAATGTTGTGGTACTCACCTGCTCGCTCTTTATGTCTAAATTTCTCAACTACTGCAACRAAAGCTACAGATGAGGAATAAGCAGAAAGGAAACAAGGAAATCCACCCTGCAACCAAGAAACACTGAGAYGTTACAGGTCTAGGCTTGCCCGGGAAAGCAAAACCTTTCCCGAACTCAAAACAAGCTGTAAGGGAGTCACACAGCCTGCTGAGAGCAGGTTTTCAGCTTCACGATGCCAGTAGGGAAAGGAATTGCAGAGCAGGAGACTCAGCTGTGTAACCAACAAACATATGTTTGTGAAAATGAAGAAAATCCGCCTGCTCTTTTTAGAGCTGAAACTGTAGCTTTAGTTGGTGCCATGTACAGCTTTAATTGCCTCAGTGGGGCTATAGCTTCCCTCTTACAGAAACGGATATTTTGGTTTATGCAGTGCTTTTTGCCAGAGCCCATGCTGAGGGCACATGGCAGTTGGGATGGACAAGGCAGGCCCAGCCCCAGGARGGCATCGGGCACCCAAAATGGCAGCT